AAGCAAAAGATGAGCAATCACCAATTACTGTAACTGTGTTAAACAAATAATATTGTGTTGTAACGCATCTTATGCGGGTGTTTTGGAGCGAATATTATTGGGAATAGCCCAAGAAACACCGCTCTCAAGAATCACATTTTTGCTGTGCTGTTGATAACTGAGTAGACCACAAGAGCAACAAATAAATTTAACATTTTTTTTTTCTGCGGAACTGAAGGTTTTTCCAAGGCTGACATGGATTGTGACTTATTCTGATAGTTAGAATTCTGTGATACAGTGGATCTTGTACGGAGTCCCCTGAAACAATTTATGTATTTATTTTTTTTGTACGAAGTTGAAAAAATTAACGGCCATTTTCAAAACATTCTTAGGTTTGCCGGTAAATGAGAGTAAATAGAAATAAAGAATAAGTAGTTGTCGAAAATGGGCAGCAAAACATTAAAGACAGAAAGCTGTGACCACGGTGTAACTGCATCAGATGGAGGGATCTTGTGATATAATGACTGTAAACAGGCTGTTGATCTAAAAAAAAAAAGTTTGAAGTAAGACAATTGTTTGTTGAGTACTATTTGAAAGTACTGCAGACTATTGTTATGGATTTGACATCTTTTAAACTAAGTTTTATAGCAAGATTGCTCCGGCAAAAATTTCATCAGCCGGCAAAAGTGAGTGTTACATTTTTGGTAAGCTCCAGGTTCTAGACCAAAGAGCTGCAAAGCGAGAACTTTGCTGTAGAATCCTGTAAAATCCTTTGGCTTAAATCCGTGATTGATACCGTTCTGTAGCTGTCAACTTGTGACCCTGAATGATTTAAATTTAGAAGTGGGGAACTTGCTTCATTGTTACGCCACTTTCATAAGTCTTGTAGTCATTAGTGGAACACTGGCAGTACGAACGCAATACTGAATTAAGCTGGTTTTGTTTGAAGTGGAAAATACGGCAATGGGGATTCGAAATGCACTAGTAGCAAAGGAATGGAACACTGAACTACTGTTTCAGATATTCGTGAAAACGAGGAATTTGGTAGAAGAAACTTTAAAAAAACTTGTAATTTTACGCGGAAGCTCATTTGCGGTAACATTTGGTGATTGGTTGTTGGTTAACAAGTGGTTTACCCTCAATAGCAAATAGAGAGGCTGAATGTATGAAAAAGACCGGAAAATACTAATGTGGTAAAAATCTGTTCCTTTCTTATGGAAATGCATAATTATTTGATCGCCGTCTGATCTTGCACTAATTTTGCACGTTATACAACCGTGCTGAAATTGCGCAGTAGCAAAACCGGTAATGAAACGATCGAACAATAAAGTCAGAAAAAAACTCCACCTTTCACGGCCATACCATAACTGTGATTAATTGTTCATCACTCTTGTATGCTTGAGAAGGTGACCAGAAAAAATTTTTTTTACTTGTGCTTTGCCGTTTAATGACGCTTTTATAATAGCTGATTTTTTTGCTTCTTTTTGCAAATCATTACTTTGTACTGTAGGTGATAAAGTATATCTTTATAGGAAAATTGTTCGCTATTTCTGAGGAAATATTTAATTTATCTAACCATCTAATTCGCTCAGACCTAAATCAGTGATCAAATGACAGCGCTTTTTCAAAGAACCTGTGAACAAAAAAATTCAGCAACAGTAAGAAAGAAAAACAATTTTGCGTTGAAATCA